GTATTGATACGGTTTTCTATAGCCAGGTTTGTGTTTTCCTTGTAAATAGCCAGCCTGAAGTGGGCAGGGGCATCTTTGTCTAGACAGGCCTTTGCACTCATAGGAAATCTTTGCTCTTCCTTCTCCTCTTGCCCCTGAAATGTCCTTTCCCCTTTCTTCTATCCTTTCTCAAACCCTGTGTCCCAGTGTCCCATGATGTTTCAGCCAGGATTCAGATACAGATAACAGAACACTCTTTTGCTGGCTTTACCACAAAGAGGTTTAATATAAAAAATTAGGTGCTTATGGAACTTCTGGAAGGGCTAAGGGCTAGATTCTAGTCTTAACAGTCCGCCCTATGGAGCTGGCCCATCCAGGGAACTGCTGTAAAAGAAGAGAAAAACTTGAGATCTCAGTCAGAGCTTTTGCTAAGAATCTGTCAATGATTTGTCACTGTTACATTGATTCTGGACCAACACAAGCTTTATTATTTTATGTAAATGCTGGGGGTGGGGGCGGAATGTGACCTGTGCCTTAGGCTAGTGCAGCATGGTCCATAGATCTGTAGCCTGGGAGGTTGTTACAAGTACAAAATCTTGAGTCCTACCCCGACCCTTACTGATCCCTGGGTGCAGCCCAGGAATCTGTGTGTTAATAAGCCTTCCTAGTGATTCTGGTGCAGTGAGGCTGACCAACCAACCATCCTGGTTTGTCTGGGATTATTGAAAAGCTTCCTGGGATACTGGACTTTTATTGATAAGACCAGAAAAGTCCTGAGCGAGCTAGGATGAACTGGTCACCTTAGATACAGCTAAAGTTTGAGAAATACAAACTTCACTTCTATTTGTTGTGCAAACACAACAAAGCCCTGATTGTTGGCAAGGGTTGGAGAGGGTGTTTATGAGTCATAGTTATGAGGTACAATATTATTGAAGCAATGTGACATGAAGCTCTGCTCACTCAAAATAACTTTAGATGAGACAGCGAAATGCTCATTTGTCACTACTTTTCATACGCCATTGAAGAAAGAATGTGCCAAAGTTCTGAGCTTTCAAAAAGTGACTTTCAAAATTGCCATCTGACAAATCAAGAAATCATGTTTTGCAGATGAAGTTTCATAATTCATACACTCAGCTGTATAAAAATTTTTTTTCTATGACTGAATTTTAATCTTAAACCCCCATTCTGCCTGGTAGTATGACTTAATCCTAGCCATTTTAAAGAAAATGCAGTCATATCAGAATTTTCTCCCTCAAATCAGGATTTTAGTTCCAGTCAGTTCAGGTTTTTGCTATCCTGTTCCCTGGATTATGTCTGAATGCTGAGGAGTTTTTATGAGCTACAGTGTTGGGGGAGGGAGGCATCTGTCTCTGCTGGCCTCTATGGAGATGCACATCATCCCCAAAGGAAATTTCTAGGACATCTGGGTTCTCCATCTGGTCTCTAGTAGTTGGTCCAGGAAGGTCACCCTACGTTCTTCTCATCTCAGTCTCAGTCTTCAGACCTGCTGGCCTCTCTCAGCTACTTAGAGCTCCTCATAATGGAGTGTGAAGGGCTTGGGACATTTTGGATGGTCTTGCATGTGATTGTAGGGTCACAGGACATCTCTTAGCATTGTCTCAGGCTCTGCTTGCCTAGACATGCAGGCTGCCAATCCCATTATGGATGTCTCACCAGTCAGGTCTGGGGAAATGCCATGGGGCTTGTCACCTCCCAGGTCTCCAACAAGGAACAAGGCACAGGGCTTCTCTGCTTTTGGTCTGCCAGTCTAGCTCAGGTTTCTGATAACCCTCTGGAGGTTCTGGTGATGAATCTTAGGGCACGGGCACCCGCCTGAGGACACACCATTTCCATTTCCTCCTCACTTCTTTTCTGTTCCCTCCCTCATTTCCCAGTCCAAAGGATGTTTATCTCATCTGGGGCTGGAAAATTTGCTCTTGCATAATCAAGGATTATTCTCAATTTATGTTTGTATAATAGTAACAACTTTATGCCTTGGGTTTTTTAGGGATGTGATAGAAACTGCTATTTGCAACCTTACATCCAGGCTCCTTTTCTGCTTCAGTAACAGGGTGCTGATTTAGTTTGGATCAGTTGTGTGCCTTACAAAAAGATATAAAAACAGGCTCCCTTGCAGCCAACCTTGGCCATGTGGCTACATTCTGACACCTGAGATATAAGCATAATTGCTGTATGGTACTTCTGAGATGGCTTTGTAAGTGATCTGACTCAGTGACGAGGAGTACTCTTTGCCTTTCCCTGGTTCCCATTGCCTCAGATATGGATGTAATTGTTGGAGCTCTCCAAGCATCTTATACCAAGAGGAAATCTTGAGGCTGCAAGTCGGCACTGAGAAGGAACTGAAATACAGATGGAGTCTCAATCTCTGATGACCACCCTGGCTCTAGCCTGTCTACTGATTTCTTCTACGAGAAAGAGAAACTGTATTTAAGCCATTTATTTCATTTTCTCTTTTATGCAGTTTAACTCCAAAAGGGATTCATTCAGCATTAGTTCTTGAAAACTTTTTTCTCTCAAGCTGTTTCTCTGCCATGAGTTTCAAAGGTCTGCATTGAAACTCAAAAACTAAAATTGGACCTCTTTTTGTTTCTTTGCATTTATATTGTAACAACCCTTTTTTAAGAGCCATGAGAAGGACATCTTGTTGCCCGAAAGAGCAGAGAAAAAGAAACAAATGCTAATATTTCAAAATATTCTATCCTCACATTGAAATTTATCCAAGCAATTGCCATGCCTCAGAGTAAAGTCTGGACATTAGGGCTTTAAAGATCTAAGAGAAGCCATATAGAGAAATTAAAAATTATCAATAAATTTGATGATGCCTGCAAGCAGCTCCACAAACATTTGTTTTAAAACAGCAGCTACAAATACCATATTCTGAACTGCTTCTCCCACCTCCTTCTCAACACCTGAGCATTCTCCCTCAGCAGTTGCCAGGTCGCATTTCTTTGTATCTTCTACTGTATTTCACAATAGGTCCTTAGTTAACATTTGCTTATTGATCTGGGGCTTGTTGGGCTGACCTTTCAATGAATGGCACAAGTAACCAACTTCATGAATAACTTACTGCTCCTCCGCGTTGACAATTACAGCAAATTCTATTTCTTCTTCAGTGAGTGATGGTTCAACCATAGATAACTAAATTAAGTGTCCTGAAATAGGTATATGTTGCAGGGCATGTCTTTCTTAATTTTACTTTTTTGCAAGGTTGTGATTAATTTGATTATTGAATTTGATGTTATTGACATTGATTTAGCTTGACAATCTAGAGAAAGTGTAATTAGTTCCAATAAAAGTTCAGCAAAGGCATTTATGTTCTATTTTCAAGAATGTATCCCCCATTTATAGATCTACTCCTTTCCTTTTATTAGATATGCTTAAACCATAATTTCAAGTTTTATAACATCAAATTTAAGATATTAAATTGATTCTTTGATCAGATACCCCAGGTATGACCATGTTGACAAAGAGGCCATGTGACTTGTAGTTTTCAGGTCAGTCTTGATTTTCATTTAATGAATTTATTTATGCTTCACTCAATTCCACAAATAATAGCATATTACTCATAAGAACATACCCAACAATAACAAATAAAACTCAAATACAAGCACATGTATAGCCTTGACTCAAGCTACGTATAAAAAACATCTGTATCCCCTTAATATTCTGAAATTTAAAAAAAAAACTTCAAATACAGAATTGGGACAAGGAAAATCAAGGCCAAATTTTAAATAAAAATGTGAATACATAAAACCTAGAATCCTAAGTTGGTAATTGTTTCCCATTTGTCTCTGTCTTCTAGAAAGCCAAAGCAAAGGGAAAGCACAGTAAGTCACATAATTCTCATTATTCAAAAAAAGGAAGTAGACAACTTCCTTGGGAGGTGCATATTTTGTCCTGGCACCAAATTCTTGAAGAAATTTATCATTTGGGACTTCATAGGGGACCGTGAGTTGCATTGTGGACAATATTGTTAGTGACTCATTTTTCATATACTTTAAACCAAAGCTGAGGAAATAACACTTAAAATTCAGTGAGTGAGCTCCCAAATAGGTGTTCTAGGGAAAAACGTTCTGAAAGATATTAACAGGAATGTCGTTTTTAAAAAATGTGTTTCATGCTCAAATAAGTTTAGGAACCACTGAATTAATCAAAGTCAAGCAGGTTCCTTTGTTGTAGGATTTTCGGAAACTTTGACATGTTGATGTGCATCTTGGTTTTCTACAAAGAGGGGATACACAAATCAGTGTCTAGAACTTATTTTGCCATGTAAGCTTTTCTCCTGAGGTTCACCTATTAATAATCTCTGAGTTCTGTGACACATGGTTTGGAAAGGATAAGCCAGGGTAAATTGATGCAAATGCAGTGGTGGGAGAACAGTGCAGCTGCTTTTGTGATTAACAGCGTGTGTGTTGGTGGTGGGAAGATTTGAGTGCAAATACTGTCTCTAGCACCTACTGGTTACATGACTTTGGAAAAGTTACCCAAACTCACTGAGCTGTAGTTCCCTCATTCATAAAGCAAAGTGCATCAATTAGAAACGTGTTTGGTTCAAGGAATAACAACAACAGAAATCTATCAGAGTTACTTAGGGGGTTACTTTTCCGATACAATAGCAAGTCCAGGGTTGGGCCATCCAGGACCAATGCAGCTGTTCATGGATGTTGTCTAGGCTTTTTCTGTCTTTCTGCTTTGACATCCTTACTTAGCGTGAAGGCCTCTGTCTTTATGCTTGTTGCCTTATGTTTGCAAAATGGCTGCTGCACCCTCACCTTCACATCAGCATTTCAGTCATGAAGGAGGAAAGGGATGTACATTACTATTGAGTAGCCAATCCACAGTGTCAGCCATAGGGGGTTCATAAGAGACTCTCCCTCAAAGAATTATTTTGAGAGTTGAGATAATGAAAGTAAAGTGTTTACGTAGTGCCAGACACAAATTAGTGCTCACTAAATGTCAGTTATTAATATGGATAGATTCAATGAGATACAAATTAGCATTTAGGGCACCTAGAAAGATGAAGAACTGCACATTCTTCAGCTAATTGCCAGGATATATCTCTTCTCAGTGAAGCTTTTGATAAAAGCAGATCAGACTGTTTGATGCTACCTTCTCTCAGAAGGCTCTGGAATACAGGTAGGTAGAGATGCTGTTTGTGAGCAGATGGTCTAGAAACCAGACAAACAGGAGGAAGGCTGGCATCCTACTGTACCAATCAGGAACCTGCCAGGGCTCTCCCCAAGAAGAGACCCATTCTACTTTTGCATAGAGTCCTGCTGTGGGGTTCTTAAGTCAGGATTTGATTAGGAAGCAGTTTTGAGGACAAAGCTCAGTCAAGACCAATACATTAAATGTAGTCAAGATGAGTTAGGAAAATCTCAATTCTAAATGTTCTGTTCCATTGTCAAACCATGGATATAATGATGTATCCTAACTTTTGGGTTACAAAATATAGTAACAGTATATAGAGATAACATCTTAAAATATTAACAAATATATATTGAGTATTTGTCATGAATCCAGTATTGTCTCATGGTTATATGAGACAAATAAAACTCAAATACAAGCACATGTATAGCCTTGACTCAAGCTATGTATCAAAAACATCTGTATCCCCTTAATATTCTGAAATTTAAAAAAAAAAACTTCAAATGCAGAATTGGGACAAGGAAAATCAAGGCCAAATTTTAAATAAAAATGTGAATATGTAAAACCTAGAATCCTAAGCTGGTAATTGTTTCCCATTTGTCTCTGTCTTCCAGAAAGCCAAAGCAAAGGGAAACACAGTAAGTCACATAATTCTCATTATTCAAAAAAAAAAAAATATATATATATCAATATTTCCCAAAATGACTCAAAAAAGTGATAATCAGCTTCATATATATACAGCTACATATATATACATATATATGTGTGTGTGTATTTATATATATATATATATATATATAAATCATATTAGGAGAAATTCATTGGCAATTAGAGGGAAAAGAAAGAAAGGTATCACAAAAATAACTTGGACTAAACATCATCATAGGCAGTGAAATCCAGGCCAGTATGCTGATGATCAGGAAGAGGAGGGAAATGACATTGATAATGGCCAAGGCTTAATCAGCACCTAATATGTGCCAGACACTGTTTCTAAGTGCTTGACATACCATATGTCATCAATTCTAAATGTGCAATTTTTGCCATATTTTCATCAATAGCTCACTTGGAGTGATTGCTTCATCCTCACATCAAATCTATGAGGTAGACAATATTATTATTCTCATTCCATAAATGAGGAAATGGAGGTTAGCTGCATATCTAGTAATTGGGGAGCTGAGATTTTAATACTCATTTGTTGTGCTAATCCTGAGCCCAAGCTCTTAAACTATGCTATAGGACATAAAATATATATATATGTATTTACGCAATAACTTTTGTAAAATTTAACCCATTTTCTTTTCAAAATATTTATATGAATTGGAGATTTCTCCAATTGAAATTGAGCATTGCTCTGCTGAGAGACAAAATCTGGACTAAATTGACCCAGATTCCCTTCTAGGTACATTTTTTAAAAATTGTAGCGCCTAATGTCTATATCCTTAAAAAGTGGGTAGAGAAAACAATACAATGAGTCATTCCCTGTGCTGGGCTAGCTTCTTATTCTTTAGTGCTAAAAGGAAAAAGAAATGACCCAGAATCACTAAACTGTAGACTCTCAGCTCAGCTGATTTCCAACAAAACAATCAATGGGGCCGTGTCCCACATTAGCTGACTTATCTCACACACTGGATCATTTTCTTTCCTTCCACTCTCCCAAACTTGTTCTTTCTCACTCCTCTGCCCTTTTGAATTCCTTGTTCCTACTGCCCTGAGCATGTCCAGGGGGGTTTCTAGCATTTCAAGTTTATTACCAGAGAAGGTCACATTGAACCTTCAAAGACATAACAGGGAGCATGAGTCACATGCTTGCTCACAGGGTTTCTGTTATTTACTGATGGCCTGGACAGCATTATCTTTCTTCACAGCTTTCATTTTAAGACCTTTTAGAGAGTAATCTTAGGGCTGTTTCTACGCAGGTGGACAAAGCAAGTGTTTAGAGGGAATGAGTGAAGTATCTTGGATAAATTGTTTTTGCCAAAATCAAAAACTACATATATATATATATCAATATTTCAAGTTTTCTTGTTCTGGGTGTTTTCATATAATGTTATAAATATGACTGCAAAGTTGTAAATTTCCCACTGATAGCCAACATTAGAGAACAAGGAAATAATAAAGTGCATGGGGAAGAATATCCAAGTAAATTTATCATATCTGTAATAAAAACACCTTACAAAAAGTTTATTAGGCATTAAATTTAAAATAGAGATTCTATAGTATGGGCCACAAGGCTTAATTAAGCAAGCAAACAAACAAAGCCAACTGTACCAGAATGTTCTGCAACCTGTGATTCTGGAGCTGTGATTTGCAACTCTCATATGATTATTCATCACAGAGCAAACCACAATTTGACCCCATCCTCCTTACTGTCTGCTCTGATTAATACCAAATTTGCCTTTATTACCATTCTAAACAGAAGATCTATAGGATTTGCCTCTCATTCTCTAAAGGATTGCCACTTGAATCTTTAAATGATCGAGTATAAAAGGGAGGATGAGCACAAATATTTATAGCATACCTAGTCTGTGCCAGGCAATTTCGTGTTTTACATAGGCTAGTTACCTTATTTAATCTTTAATACAAGCCCCTTAATACATACCCCATCTTCCTTTTGACAGAGGAGGAAGTTTATGCATAAAATTATTAAATAATTCACCCCAAATTATACAATCAGTAGGTGGTAGAGCCAGGATTTGAACCAAAGTCTGTCCAACTCCAAACCCTGTGTTATTTCTTCTCTACCATATGCAGTGTCAGATTAGAATCACTTGGGGAACTTTTAAAATAATGCTGACAGCTTGATTTCCACCCCAAAGCAATTAAGTCAGAATCTCTGGGATTAAGTCTGGCTTAAATATTTTTTAAAGACCCCCCAGATTATTCTAATGTGCAGCTAAGGTTGAGAATCTCTGCTGTATACTAATATTAAATGTCAAAGTTGGAGAAAGAACAAATTACTACAGACTAATGTGTGACAACCCAATTGTCTATGATAAAAAATTACTTTGATACATACCAAAAGAGCTTTACTTCCAATTTTATTTTCTGCTGCCAGAAATGCAATTAACATTGTTCTCTCCAACTTCAACCCAGAGTAGGAAGCTGAGTCAAAGACTCAAATTATCTTCTCTGGGTTACTTTGAGATTAAATAGAGAATTTGTGAGAATTTTCTGGTTTTTTGTATATTCTCTAGAGAGTTCATCTTAAAACTAGAGTAAGTCAGAAATCATTTCCCAACAAAAAGTGAAAAATATCTTCAGCACTTCATTTCAACACCTATATTTCTGAAAGCTGAGGAAATTATGCCTCAGCTTATACCTAAAATTTATGGAGAAGGAAGGAATAGCTAATAAGTCCTACCAATTTTGGATGCATGGAGTTGAAGCCTGGTCAAAAAAACGAAAAATTATGCCATGCACGAAGCATCAGAAATAGGGGGGCACTGAATTTTCTCACGTGTCATCTTTCTGTCTCAGGATCTTCCAAAGGTGTTAGGATTCAAGAGTCAAAGACCCCTGGGGTGAGACAGCTCTGCAACAGCAGACATTGGGCAATGAGGGCTTAAAAGAGGACTTACTATGAGGAAGAGAAGTGAGATGGGAAGACTCTGAATGAATGGAGAATACTCTGTAAGCATCCAGTTCCTTAGACTGCCCTTCCGTCTGCAGGTGCCAAGAAGAGACAGAAGGCATCTGAAGGGCTTTCTGTCTGCATGGAGTCAAGGCAGGGTCTTTGAACCTACGCCTTCTAAACCAAGGAAGTAATGCTGATCAAACAAAGTTCCCCCAGAGGAAGGGGAGAGCCAACAATAGCAGGCTGGTGAGGAAGATGTCTGGAGCAGGTGGGGCCTCACACTTGCCATGAAATCATGTAAGTAGGGTCACCTCCTTTGCCTCCTTGTGCAGCCGGGTCTGTTACCAGATTAGGATCTCAGGGCTGCTGTCTTCCCTGTGCTTGGGAGGCATCATGACAGAGCCTGGGGTGAGAAAGGACTGATATCCAGGTATGTAAGTGAGATTATAGCCATTCGTCCTGTCTTACAGTACAAGGAAAATGTGATCCCCCCCCACTGAGTTTGTGTTCCCACATGATTGACTGCTTCCCTCCCTCATATCTCGGCATAAACATTCCAGTGACTCGAAAGTTAACATCTGGTTTTCCAGAGAGAAAATAAGTATTTGTAAATATCAGAAATATGACAGATCATAAAAAGCTCAATAAGTTGGGCTAGGAATATTTTGAATTATGTCTCTAATTAAAACACATTTTGTTTGTTTGTTTGTTTTTGGGTGAGAGGGTCATTTAGACTCAACATCAAAACAGAAAACTATGAGTGCCATTTTGGGGCAAGACCTACCTGGTCTTTTACCCTAGTATGTTCCCCTACCCTTCAATGACATGGTATCTTCTTGGCTTTGGAGTTTTAAAGGTATAGTCATGAGAGGAAGAGGGGCAAGAGAACCCCCATTTAGATTTGTAGGATTGGGGTGAGATGATGTGGGGACTAGAGGCTCTTTCCCAAGTGAGTTCCCAGAAGAGAGGAAAGACAGCAGTGGGGGAGAGGCCTGACCAGCCCCCAAAGGTTGCCACCACCCAGCATAGCACAGAGCAATGAATGACGTCATGGGACCCCACGCTGCACAGGGTCTTAGCAGCACAGCGTTGCTTTCCTGGACCCAGCGTGGCCTGGAAGCCAGAAAACGTTTCCTATGCACCCATAGAGTATAAGAAAACCACTGGGTAGGAAAAGACCTCGCAGACTGGAATGAGGTTTCCCTCCAGACCAAAGTCCAGAAGGAGCGATGCACATGTTATCGATCCACATAAATGGCAAAATGGATCGATGAGATGGCTGAGTAGAAGCTGCGGTTAGTAGATAAAAACCTAGACCAGGAACAGCCCTTGGCTCCTTTCTCAGGCCCCTGGGAGATGCTTCAAAGGAGGTGCGTTTTCAAAGATAGAACTTCACGGAGAACATTTTGTGTTCAGACTTCAAAATGGCAATTCTTTCCTGAGTTGTCACCTGTGATATCTCACCATGTTTTCTTGTTTAATGATTCCTCTAAATCTTATTCTCTTCACATCAAATATCTCTGGTTCTTTTGATGTCTAAATCAAGAGGCAAATTCCCATAGCTCCAAATCAATAGCTCAAGTTTCTAGAATAGACACTTGCACAAAATACAGGCTCCCCACAGGCCCTCAGGTTGCTATCTGATTGCTGTCTAAAAAGTCAATATCACAGGCCAGTTGACATCAGAGAGTCCTGGGTTTAAAAACTGGCTCAGAACTTCTAGTTGTATGACCTTACACAATTTACATGATGACTCGTAACCTAAGTTTTATCATCTATAAAGTGGAGATTATAACAATATCCCATAACAGCTCTGACAATATTGTAATGTGTATACATTGCTTGCCACCTAATAGCCATTCAACTAGTAATAACTCCTGGCTCCCCTTTCCTAAGCAGACACGGAGAGGCTTATGTACCTAAATTGTGGGATTTTACAAAGATGAAAATGGAATCTGATAAGGGATTTCACTGTAGTATTTGTATTCATGTTTATTTACCTGCTGATTCTCTATTACGTATTTATCATATTATATTTTAGCTGTCTCATTATGTTATGAGATCATTCAGGAATGGAACTCTGTCTAAAATTCTCTATAAACCCACAGGACCTAAAAAGCACTCAGTGAATGCTTGATAAATGAACAAATGAATTAATGAATTCCTAATTAAGCATTTAGGTGATGGATTTTGCTAATGCCTTATGTCCCATGAGTATTTTAAATTTAATAAATATTTGTTGAACATACAGAACGCTACAGAGTTAAGGTCCTTACAATAAAGTGAAGGATCCTAATCACTTACCAGACAAGCACAAGAACTTGTATAACATGGATAGTACCGTAAACTATGTGTAGAGAGATGGGGTGTTCAGCAGAGGGAGAGATTACATTTGGTTGAGGGATTAAGAAAAGTTCCATGGAGGAATGTGGTAGCGATGGAGCAGAACCGTGGAGGATGAGTGATAATCCAACAGCAGTGCAGAGAGGGATGCTAGAGTAGAGATTGTGCCTAAAAGGCAGGCAGTGTGGTGGGCGTTCAAGGGGTTGCAAGTAGCCTGATTTGTGGCACAAAGTATGTGCACCTTGGTTAGAGCTGCAGAGACAGGGAGGGTTTTGAAACCCAACCAGACTGAGAAATTGGTTCTCAAGCCAGGCAATGAGAGCCACTGAAAATTTAGAGCAAGGAAGGTTCAGATTTAATTAACATGGATTGAGTGCCTCCATTTTACAGATTAGGCAAATGAGGCTCACACGGGTTAATGACTTGCCCAGGTTGCAGGGATTGAAAGTGGCAGAGCTGGAATTCTATCGCAGTCCCTTGACTCTAAGATGAATAGTCCCAGCACACCACAGCCACGCCTTTGGCAGATTCACCATGCAGCAGGGAAGGCCCAACTGCACGGAGGGAGACTGAAGCCTGGGAGCCTGGCTGAGAGGAAGTGAGAGATGTGCCCTTCACCTTCATTCATCAAATCACTGCTGCAAATAAAGCGACCTCGAACACAAGGCAATCCTCCATCTTCCCAATGAGAAGATCCCAAAAGGTCTGACCCAGTATAGACAATGACTGAAGGTGATGGAAGGAGATGCATTTTGAAGCAAATATAAAGTAAGCCAGTCTTGTTAAAGTCTACATTTTAAGGGGTACAAAAATATAGTTAGGTAGAATTACTAGAGTTCTAGTATTTGATGGTACAGTAGGGGAATCATAATTTATGGTATATTTAACATAATTAAATAGTTAACATAATTTATGGCATATTTAAAAATAGCCAGAAGAAAAGAATTGTAATGTTCCCAATAGAAAGAAAACATAAATGTTTGAAGTGATGGATGTCCCAGTTACCCTGATTTCACACAGGGGTGGGGAACCTGTGGCCTTGGGGCCAAGTGTGGCCATCTGGATCCATGAGTGCAGCCTTTTGACTGAATCCAAATTTTGCAGAACAAATCCTTTTAATAAACAGATTTGTTCTGTGAAGTTTGGATTCAGTTGAGGGGCCACACTTGGGGATCCGAGGGCCACACCGTACATAGCCTTGAAGCTGCAGGTTCCCCACCGGGGCAAGTGTTATGATCGGATTTGCATTTTAGAAAGAGAATCTTGTCAGCAGTGTGGAGCCCGGATTAGGGGCAAAGAGGGAGGCAGAGAAGCGAGAAGACATCTACAGAAATCCAAGAGATTTGGTGGCCTGGGCTAAGGTGGTGGTTGTGAGAGGAAAAGACGGCTGTAAGAGGCATTTGGGAAGTGTATGAGACAGGATTCGATAACACAGGGGGGAAGGGACAGTCAAGGGCGACTCCAGAGTTTCTGTTGTGAGCAGTTATGTATATAGTGGGTCACTGAGTGTCAGATGCAAGGCACATTGATGAAGACAAATTTACAGAGCTAGGAAACTGAAGTGGTATCAGGAAGGGAGAGATAAAGGCAAAAGAATGGGAGAGAAAGAGTAGGATAGCAATATAAAAACAGAAGAGCCCGGAGGAGCAGCTGATCAGGAGGAGTAGTTGATCAGGAGGAGTAGCTGGCTGGGAGGAGTAGCTGATCAGGAGGAGTAGCTGATCAGGAGGAGTAGCTGATCAGGAGGAGTAGCTGGCTGGGAGGGGTAGCTGAGCTGAGGGAGGCTTGAATTTCAGCTTTGTCTTGAGAATTAATCATGTGGTACCATCAGAAAGACTGTCTTTCTTGCTTTGATTATTCTAGGAGGAGCAAGACAACATGGTAATTACCAGTCTGTAATTTCCTGCCAGGAAAAGCTAAATCTTCTTCAAAACGAATATAATATTTCATTGACATAGAAAAAATGAACATAATGAAAACAATCTTCCTTTGAAGACAAGAATAAACAATGTCACTCGCTGTAATCACTTCCATCTCAGCTGCTGTCTGTCACCAAAGGACATCTCCACTCAACTGTTTAAAGCATCAAACACCAATGCCCAACCAGAACTCTGGATTTTCTTTCCTGTACCTGCTCTTCCCCCCATCTTCTCCCTCAGCAAGTGACTCTATCAACCAGCTAATTGCTTGAACCAAAAATCTAGGAGTCATCTTTGATTTCCTCATCTGTTCTCTGTACCAATTCCAGGTCAAGAAACCAAGAAATCTCAATTCATCTACTTCTAAAAACAGTAGGCAGAGGGACCTTTGAAAAATACAAACTCTAACTCCCTGCCATGACCCATGAAGCCCCATGAAACCCTGATCTGGCCTCTGCCTCACTCTCCCATCTCGCCTCCCACCTTGGCCCCTTTCTCCCTCTGCCCCAGCCACACTTGGAGCCTCTGCACTTATCCTTCATGTCCCTGGACTCCTTTCTGCCCAGGCCTTTGCACACCTGGCTCCTTCTGGTCACTCAGGTCTTGGCTCATATGTCCCCTGTGCAGAGAGGCCTGTTCTGATCACCCACCCTATGCTGGGGTAGATGCCACCCACGGAGTGACAGCTGGGCTGGAGCCGTTTGGACGCCTGCCCCAGAGGTCAGATTGGGAGGGTGATGGGTTTCAGCAGAGGGAGTCTGTGTGGGGTGGACCACTGGAGCTCAGGGCAGAGCAGGGAATGGTCACCGTATCACCCCGTCATAGGAGTTACAGCCGGAGAGGTCCAGCAGGGGAGTTTATGAGAATACAAAAAAATGTCCAGGCAAAAAACCAAAGAAGCAAATACACAAGAATGTTAAGTATCACAGGACCCTGAGAACTGGCAGCAAGCATTTAACTGTCAATGAGAACTCTTGGCTCCAGTTCTCTCATCCTCTGGCAAACTCCAAATTAGAGGAAAGAGAGGAAGTGAGCAAAGAAGGATTAGGAACGATCACGCCTCCTTCCCGACAGCAGATTGTCCAGCTCCTATGGTCCCTAACAAGGGACAGGGGAGGAGAATGACATGCTGGGTGATTTCCAGGACTTGCCATTCTAATTTCTGAATTGAGACCACGTTTATGACTTTCAGTAACTGCACGGATTTCTGTTAACCACGAGTGTCTAGAAACATCCTAGGGATGCTGGAGATGGCAGGGGGAAACTTCCCTTTTAGAATATATTCTAATGGTACAGTTAGAGACAAAAATAAAATTTATTGCGATCATGTCCCATGAGCTGTGCTTGAGCTGTGTATCCAAGTAGCGCAGCTTGGAGCTGAACCCAGTCTGTCTGAATCCCAGGCCCCAGGCTGAGGCAAGGAGTGTGATCAAGGCATCAGTGTGAAGTGTAGGCTCACCAAGGTCTCATTCAGTCTGTCTTTTTTTTTGCTCAGAAGATTTTCTTTGTCTCAAAAATGAGTCTTGATTTTGCTCAAAGAATTAGCAGGTGAATAATCTCTATTCTTCCTCTTTTAAGGATCTCAAATTAAGCTGTTTTAGAAGCATGTCTTCTTTACAAGGACTTAATTTTCTGTGCCCACTCAACTGATGTATTTGGACATACATAGTTACCTGGGTCTTTTCTGGATCTACAGGAGGTGTTGCCGACCTTGCCACACTGCAGGCCTGGGTATCCTCCCTGCCTGGAGAACATTGCGCATTTGAAGCTAGGTTCTAGACGATGTATCCGTACAAAAGAAAAATGTGAAAGCCCCAAATCCATTGCCCTACAACTCCTCACACCAGACTCCTTTATATCCAATGTCATTTCTCACTTCCTAGTTTACCAATTTGGGCAAAATGACCCTCCAGAGAGTCTGCAAATGAACGGCCTGTCAAGTTTAAAGATACAACATTAAGTCCCTGGAGTCTAAACCAACTAAAGAGTTTTCTTTCTCTGCATTGTCCTGAGTCTGTGCTTCTGCCCAGAGCAGAGCAATGCTTTCTGGGAAAATTTCTTGAAGATGTTTACTTTTCTCATCGCAGGGGTGCCCAGGGTATATTTTGTATTAGACAAGAAGAGCTTATCTTGAAAAAATGTTCATGTTGTGGTACGTGAGAGCAAAGTGCTGAAATAAAGGGCCAGCCCTCTGGTACATTTATCCATAACAGCTGAATTTGATATACCAGGCCTTGCCCATGTCTGTCCTGGAAATTTCAGGACTGAATCACAGTTCAACAGTAAAAAACTAAAATAAAATAAAACCAGCTTGTGTTTATCTTCATAGGCTAGGGACTGTGCTAAGTGTTTTAGATGTGTTTCCTTACTTAATCCTCCTGATAGCATGAGACGCTGTGAGCCTCATTTTACGAGCTCCAAACGGGAGCATGGAGCAGTTAAATGACTTGCCCAAAGTCACAAAGCTAGTACGTGGTGAAGCTGGCACCCAAAGTTAGGGAGTCTGATTTAACATCTCCTCATGGAGGTTTTTTGTGCTTTGTTGCTGAGGCTGGAATGCACTGGTGTGACCGCAGCTCACCACAGCCTGCATCTTCTGGGCTCAAGTGATCCTTCTGCCTCAGCCTCCCAAGTATCGGGGACTTGTACAGATGCACACATGATGCCTGACTAATTTTTTAATTTGTTTTTGTAGAGATGGGGGGGAGTGTCTCACTATGTTGCCCAGGCTGGTCTTGAACTCCTGGCCTCAAGTGAATCCCTCCTAAAGTGCTAGGATCATAGGCATGAGCCACCTCACCAGGCTGCTCATGGAGTTTTTAAGACACTAATTCTGTCTGCGATCTGCTAAGCCAGTCATTCTCAACCTGGCTGCACATTAGAACCCTTGGGGGGGGCAGGGGGGGTTAAACATCATGATTCCAGACTGCACCCCAAACCGATCAAACCAGACTCTGTGAGGTGGGACCCAGGCATCTACAGGTTTTAAAGCTTCCAGATGATTGCAACGTGCACTCATGTTGCCAGTGTGCCACACAATCCTAATTCTTTCTACCTATTACTCTTTTAAAACTAGAAAACAGTTCTGTTCCATTTAGTTCCTTTCCATGAGCAATGGCTGAGAGGCCACTGAGTACAAGACATGGTGCTACCCTCTGTATTCGCATTTCCTTTCTCCTGGGTGACCCAGCTAGCTCGGGCCTTCACTTTGCTCCTCTAGAACAAAGACGGGAGTGATTGCTGTAATAGAACTACAGTGTTTAGGTTTGCAATGCATTCTAGTGTTAGGTTTGTTAGTGTTAGGTTTGTTCCAGTTGGGAAGAAAAGTATGTATAGGATGGAATGTGGTTAAAGGAAAACTGAGGTTTGTGAAGCAATAGCTGCAGGAGTCTGGACAGTCCCCAGAGGTTGTAAAATCTAACAGACAGCTGCGGCATTCCTCTCCCCCCTGATAAGGATGGAACTACCCTCCTTCCTTATCTCTACAGGATCAGGATGAGACTGATGTAGGGGTCCCAGAAATTGGATCTTTAAAAAAAAAATTTTATTGCAGTGGCTGTTCTAGCTCAGATACTCACACTCCCTAAGAAACCCTCTGTAAAACCCAAGGCTTTCTGCTCCCTCACTATGGATGCTTTTTTGCCTCCACCCATGTGCACCCAGATGCTCAAAATAAATAGCATTTTGCTACACATGAGGCTTCATATCTCTCTCTCTCTCTCTCTCTCTCTCCCCCCGGACCTAACACAAACCTCCGCCCCAAATTTATTAGTGTTACCTTCAAAGGAATTTTAATATTGTGGCACAACTCAAAAGACTGCTACTGCTTTGTTGCTATTAACAAAAAAAGTTAAAAGAAACAAAGTGAAATTTCACAAATTTGCAACTGGAGTGCTGTAATTGATCCAGGATTGGCACTGACAGTAGTTAGAAGTGCTGAGATAACAATGCTATAAAAAGGGCTGTGAGGTTACTTGCCATCCATCATGACGGGAAGGAAATAACATTTATTGAGCACTTGCTGATGGTGCTGTGGACAGAGCATGGGTTTTTATAGACAAATGTGAGTTCAAATCCCAACTGTGCCATTTAGTAGCTGTGTGACCTTGGACCTTTAAGTCTGCTTCCTCATCTGCAAAGTGGTTCACCTGGCAGGGTTGTGTGTTTGATTGGAGATGGTGTGTGAAGCGCCTGGACACAAGACAACGGTCATGATCATGTGGCAGACACCATGTTATCCGCATTTGTTATCTCCCCTAAGCCTCACAATACACCCTCAGAAAGATGCTGTTATTTATTTCTATTGACAGGAAGTGAGCCTCGCCCCAGGGCACACAGCTGTAAGATGTCAAGTTAGGATTCACTGGAAGCCTGTGTTCCCTGTGTTTTTCCAGGTTGCCTGCTTCTCCAGCCTGGCTTCTCAAGCCATCCCCTGGCTGATTTAGCTGTTAGAACAGAAGGAGATACTTTATGGATAGTGAAATAAAATTAAAAAGGCAAATACATTTTCAGTGATCTCCCAGGCACATGGCAATGTTATGAAAAGGGACATTTGCATTAGAAAAAGCAATATAATTTACTCCTTTTCCTTTTAGAGTTCCACCTGGAGATCACCAAGCTCAGAAACTAAAACTGCAAAGCTCACTCTGGCATAAGTGCCTAGACTTAGCTCTCTGCTGAGCAAAAAAACCCCTAGGATATCCACTCTCTGATCATGCCAGTTCCTTTAATAGTTCCATATTCCCAGGAGAATTAAGTATAAAAATCCCATGGGACACCATAATATCAATAATTCAAATTGTGGAAACAGTTTGAAGTAATTTAAGGAGAATTAAATATTGACAAAATAGTTGAGGAGCTCTTTGTAAGTGAGCCTGGGAAATACAGCCCAGGAAGGAAGGGGATGGGTTTGGAGACTGGTAGCAAATCCCTGCCAGGCAGGCCGTCCCGGTGGAGGTTTCCAGCAGTCATTTGGAAATACGCTTTAGGTGCTTGGGATAGAGAGTAGACCTGGGATATAAACTGTTGAGGCCATGAGATCAGAGGAGCTTGTCCAGGAAAATTAGGTAGAGTCTGAAGAGGAAAGGTTGAAAAGGGAACCTTGAGGAATACCAACATTTAAGGGGAAGGTGGAGAAAGAGGAAGCTGAAGAGGAGACAGACAAACAGTAGAATCAGAGATATGGCGGTGACCAAAAGGCGGGGTAGCATCTCCAAATGCAAAGGTAGAACTTTTGTGAAGGACATTGACAAGAAACAGATGCAGAGAGGTCGAGCAGGCTAAGAATTTAAATGGTGTCATTGAATTTTGCAATCAGAGTATTGGTGACCCTACAGAGTGGCTGCAGTTGGAGTAGTGGGATCAGAGGTCAGGAAATGCAAAGTCATGAAACAGAGCTGGCGAGCAGCCCCCGCTCGCTGACAACTGGAGACTTTTCTGGCATTCTAAGCAACAACTAATTATGAAGTCTTGTATTTCCTTTCAAACTAATGAAAATGTCTTTCTTCACTGGGGAGAGTGAGACGTGGCACTTGGCTGGCCCACTGCAAGGCACAATTGTTTTCCCTGGCATCCGTTCCTGACCTGTGCTTGCTATGGGATCCTCACCGGAGCACGTGAGTCAGGGGCGGGCACACACATTTAAGGAGAGGGGTTCTCTGGGTGGAACAAGTCCAAATAGCAAAAATACTTTGGCAAAACCAATTATAAGAGTTATCAGATATCACCACGTGGGAATCTACAAATGTTCCTTGAACAAGTCCAATTGTGAACCTATAGAATGGGTCACAGAATCTTGGTGCAATTGTTTGTCCTGCCAAGCTTTTTCTTTTTCCAGGCTGTAGTACCCTTAAGTGTGACATACATGTTCCCTCTCATCCCAGGTCCCACTACTCCCAGTGGTCTACAAAATTCATTTGTATCACCCACTTGTCCCTTGAAAGCACATAGTTTGTGACTTTTGTTAAGATATCTTTTGGTGCTCCTTTCCAAGTTACTTCTTGTATCTAGGATATATCAGAGAGTCCCTCTGAAACAAAATAGAGCATCTATTTATTTATTTATTGGTCTTAATGTCTCTTTTAAAATTGTGTTACAATATACGTAAACAGAAGAGTTACTTATAAATCGGTGGCAGCAGAATGTATATCCCATGCAAGGGAGAAGGGGGAGGACTGTCTACTGGTGAAAACAGGGTTTTGGAAAAGATGATGTTCAACCGTGATAATAAAAAAGAGAGGATAATACCTTAACTTTGCAACAAAAAAAGAAAAAAAAAAAAGAGAGGAGCGAGGATGCTTTCCTACTGAAGCCTTCGACGACAGCAAGGCATCAACCCTAGAAATTAATCAGAGAATCATTCAGCAAATAAATCAGCTACCCTCTGGGTACCTGGAGCTTAATACAGCTGGGAAAACTCTAGGAGCTCGTAGAAAGCGCATTTCTGAGCATTACCCTATCCAAGATCGAGGGAGCTCCCAGCAGCCACTGACTGACAGGTGCTGGGATGGAGAGAGAGGTGAATAAGCACCACTAGCATCAATGCCCTGGCCACGCCTGACCTGGGAGCAGCAAGATAGAGCCCCAGGCCAAGGAAGTGCTATTGTTGGATGTCAGATGGGTGACTAAAGGGATTGAGGGAAAGGTAGACGCATTGTAGTGTCTGCTGCAGTCCTGTGTTCTTTTGTCCTCTGTCATTCTGGCTCCTATGGAACAAGTTCTAAAAGTCTGAGTACTGTTCCACAAATACCTGCTTTGTAAAAATATGCAAATATTTTTCTAGGGCATTGCATTAGTTTGTTAGGGGCTGCCATAACAAAACACCATCAATTGATTGGCTTAAAAAACAGAAATTTATTTCTCACATTCCTGGAGGCTGAAAGTCTGACATCAAGGCTGGTTTCTTCTGAGGCCTCTTTCCTTGCCCTGTAGATGCCTGTTTTCTCCTTGTGTCTTCCCCCTGCTATGTTTGTCCTAACTAAGGGCAACAGTCATAGTGAATTAGGGGCCACCCAGATGACCTCTGTGACCACCCTTCCACTGGAATTGCTCTTGTCAAGGTCACCAGTAAGCTTCTTGGTACTAGCTATAGTCACATCTCTGATCTCTCATGATTTAACCCATGGGCGGCACTTACCACGACTGACCATTTCTCCTTCCTGAAACATTTTTCTATCTTGGCTTCAGTGCACGAGCTCCAGTTTTCTTCCTAACTCTCTCACCACTTCTCAGTAGCCTCTGCTGACTCTTCCTCCACCACTAACTCCCTGAATGTTGGAGTGCCTCCTGGCACAGTCCCGGATCTCCTCTCTAGCTCCTCCTCAGATAAATTATTAATGATTCCTGTGCCACTAAATACCTCTGTGTGTTGATGACTCCCAAATTCCTCTCTCCATCCCTGACCAAACCCCTGACCTTTATACAGATGTGTCCAGCTGCCTCTTAGACACCTCCACCTGGATATTTCATACTTAATGGGTCCAAAATAGTTCTCTTGATTGACACTATTCCCCCCAAAACTTTTTCAACTCCATCTTACCCTTGTAGCCAAGAACGGAGTTGTAAAACCCAAAAAACTTAAGAATCTCCTAGCTGATTTCTCCTAGCAGCACGGGAGGCTGGAAAGTATAATCTTTATTCTAAGTGGACATGTGCCCAGCTAAGGAAGAAGGGGAGGATGGATATTGGAGTTCTAAACTAGGAGTCTCTGCTGGAGCTGGCTTTTTATGTGACATTCCCAAGTGTTAACACAGGGACAGACAAACTAAGCAGTCTGTCATCTGGTTTCAGTAGAGGAGCTGCCAGTGTCGTAAGCCCGGCCTAGAAGAGCAAGGAGGGATGGCATGCATTTCTGCAGGCAGCCCACAAGTAGGGCTAGCGAGGACCATAAACAGATGAAGGTTAGTGGGGCTCAGGCAGGGCCTGCAGGAAGGAGTGTGTTGGGGAAGGCTGGGAGGTGGGGACAGGGTGTGGGGAGCTCCATGGAGGTGGGCAGTGGGGAAAAGGGAAAGGGTACAGTCTTTTACCTCCACATCCACGACTGTTCAGGGCATAGCAGCAGCAGGGATGGTCCCTGACTTCCTCCATTTTTAGGTCTAAGCAGTTATTCCAAGAGGTGCAGCTTCCATCTCCTTTGAATTGTAAAGTCCCTTCTGCGTGCTCAGACGTCCACTGAAGCTGCCCTCTCACACCAGGTCAGGATCACCCTCTCTGAAGGGACAGGTGAGCCTGGACCAACCCCAAATCCCCTGAGAGCTCAGTGGCCCTCTCCAATCTCTGCTGGCCCTGTCCAATCTTCTCTCTGTGGGCTTCTCCAGTTACCCAAATGGCCCTCTGAGACTTGAGCTCAGCCCAGTCTTAGGCCCCATCACATTCCCCTGCAAATGGCTTAGACTCGCAGCCACGCCAGCCCGTCCTGCCATGGAGGCGCGTGTGCGGGGGAAGCACCTGACTCGCAGGCAGGACGCCCTCACTTGAATCCCTGCACCACCACTTACTAGCAGGGTGGACTACCTATAGATACTTCCACAAGTGTAAAATGGGACTAACCGCATTCTCCTTACCTACTTCACAAGGCAGTATCACTTATGTAAAAGGCCTTCATTAAAAAAAAAAAAAAAGAGTCTAAACAGCTCTATATACAAATTTAAGGTTCCAGTAAAGATTCTCTATAACCACCCAGGTATGTTTGAAATTAATGATTTTATTGACACAAACTTTGCGATGAAAAGTGTTATCCTAATAGGATAGTAAGAATCAGTTTGTCTTATACACATACGAAAAAATTTCCAGATGAATTTTCAGTAACGTGGTTTAACTTCTGGTCACTGTCTTGGTGAAATCCAGGTTGTTCTGGGGAGGGCCAGATCCTGTGCCTTTGGCACTTCCTTCTCCCCCAGAGTGGGAAACCGTTTCTATTTAAAGCAGAGACACCTTTTCAAGGTGATAAATTCCAGACAACATGCAGCAGTGAACTGGTGCAGCAACAAAGCTGTAAAGAGAAGCCAGGCCCAGTACCTGGCAAAGGAACACCTCGCACTAAATGCACATGCCCTGGGAAGAGCCCTTGAACTTGCAGGATCATTGCCAACCACTAGCAGTTGGGGGCTCCTGCCGAGTAACGCCAGTGGGGGCACAGGAGTCACAGGTTTTGCTTTTATTTTATTTTATTATTATTAAAAACATTTTTTTAGAACATTAAGTTCCCCAAAAGCCCTTTCTAAAGGAATCACAAAATGATAAAAGTTTAGGAAAACTGTAGTTATGTGTATGGTAAAGGCTTATCCATTGATTAGGAGAACACCCAGTTTAAGATAAACCTTCCCTGAATATAAAAGTGAGATTTCACTGCAGAGCAATTCACAAAACATGCTGTACCCTAGGGTCTAAGTCAGTCTCCTAGTTGTAAAGTCACTGGTAGATTCAGAATATACAGTCATGACTGACCAGACTCCAAACCCCTCAATATCTGCATAGTGTCTGGCATAGGGTGGAAATTTATTGTTTAATGAATAAATATACAATCTACCCATGGAAGGAATGGGGGAGGGAAAGAAGGGGAGAAGGCAAGAGGTAGGGAGGGAAGGAAGGAAGGAAGGAAAAAAAAAGACACTAATCACTTGTGTTGGAGGAATGACAGAGTTAGCAGATAAGGAGGTTGCATATCTGACTTTCAACCTGTATGTCAGTTCTCTGAACTATGTTACATAAACACACACCATCAGGCTGCCTATTTCTGCTATACATGGAGTTTATTGGTATAGTTTGGTACAACTTTAGTCCTACCTTTCCCAACCCCAGGCATGTTAACAGTCCTTTAAAAATCATGCTATATTATTTTGGAAGAAAATACTTCCAGTTGAACATGTTTAAAGAAATGGTAGAAAATTATTCCTATCAAAACTTGCTTTTTCTGTGTCAGCTACCTGATTTCTAATGTAGTGCACATCAATCTAATGTCAATGTGAATACACATCAACTGGGCACTGGCTTTCTAAAGTGATTTCGTTGCAAGTGCCAAAATGACATAGTCCTCAGGCTGTGTACATACAAGCCAAGGGGAAGCTGTGTGTGCTGCTTCCCTGGTTATCTCCCTCACACAAGCAGTGTCCAGCCTTTGATTGACAATTGCAAATAACCCACGTGCAGAGGGAGAACGCTCAAGAAGACAAGCACAGGGGACTGGAAAGCTATGAAAAACTGCCACATCTGGCTAAGCCTTGAGGGACATTCTAGTTTGGCCACAAGGATGGTGACATTATGGTCTGGAGGCCAACATGGGTGCCAGCTTGGAAGACTTTCCAGGCATACAAGGAGCAGGTGTGACTGCATCGCAGAGACCTCCCAAAGACCCGCCATGGGTGTGGCAGAGCTAGTGCGTGAGGAACTGGATCTGATCTCATACCAAGAGCTAAGGAAACAAGGATAACAGGGAGTTTTCCTGTTTCTTGACATCTCGTGTATCTGCATTTAGAGTTGGGTGAAAGCCAGCTTTTCAGTGAACATGGTAAGTTTGGAGATGGTGGTATTTAAAAAGAAAAAAGGAAAGAATAAGCTTGCCTGAAACCGAACACACCTTTGTGGCCAGGAGAGCTTTAGTGCTAAGATGCGGATCTTTCATCCAGGAAACCCACTCCTCCTGCTTTTCTCCGCCTCATAAACTGATGTGTAATATTAGCTCTTTTACACCTGACCCTGTGACAGGAGTTGGAAAGAGGCAAACTGAACTGCACATCTGCAGTTTATTAGCATTCGTGAGCACTGTGCCAATATATTTACATGATAAACAGGAGGCTCAGAAGGTCCCAACAACTCAGGCAGCTTTTTGCTGCCAGGTAAGACAGTCTCTCAAGGCACTCAGCAGCGTTCAGGTTCAGCAAGGAGCATCCACTTCCTCAAGCTTCCTTGATAGGATCCAGGATTGTGAAGAGCAACAGAGAAGTCCGTCCACTTTCTATATGGACACTGCTAGTTGACACAGTTCTTTGTGATTCTTCGACTTTTGTCTATCTGTCGGATGCTGTCTGTAACATTAATGGTGACTTCTTTTGCAGACATTCTCTTAGTATCTCTTTTAGCCTGTTGGAAAATTTAAAACAGTGCATTGAGTTACTAGGAAATTGCCAAAGGCCCTTGAATTTGAATTAATCTCTTGAGGTTGTTGCACATACTCACACACACACACACACAGACAGGAAGAATGACCCACAAGAACACATACACATAAGCTCTGTTTCAGAGGTTTCTCTGATGGATCTCTAATACCAACCCAACATAGAGCCTGGCTTAAAACATTATCAAATGAATGAATTAGTTATTAATAGCTAAGGTCCATCAAAGAGTAACGTGAAAGTTTTCATAGTTGGCTTTAGCAGAGCAGTTACGTTTTTGAGCTTTGGAGTCAGACAGACTTTGGTTCAAATCCTGGCTATATAATTTCACTATGGGCAAATTTTTTCTAACCTCTCTAATGCTCATTTATAAAATAGGAAATAATAATATTATCTACCTTAGAAGGTTATTTTAAGATTTAAATAAGGTAATGCTTGTCACTAAACAAAAATAAAATAAAATAAAACTTAAAAAGGAAAGTAACCACTTCTAAGTGAAGATAAACCAGTGATAAAGGTCCAGAATTAACATTAAATATTAAAGCTTATGTGCCCAATCCCCGCCCCCACTCCCCCCAAATAGAAAACAACATTAACTAGCGAGGGGCGACACCCCTTCCACTCAAGGACTGTGCGCTGGGAACGAGCACAAGGTGAGCCTGTGGGTCGTGTCCAGCAGTGGCTGGACTGCCAATACCCGCTGCAGGGAGAGCAGCCAGCAAACAGCCTCCAGTTGTCCCCACAAGCGGTTTAGCTCCAGAGCGCCCCCTGGATGACCCCAAGGGCACTTCCTACCAAACAGCCCGTATAATGACGTCACTCAGTCTGCTTCCTGGAAACAGAGTCTGTCTCAGGTCCCGCGGGAGCAACCCTTACGGTGTGAGCATCTTCGCGTGCTGGGTGTCGGGAGATGCACATTTTTCATACACCATGGCCCCCGAACACAAGCCAACTACTTCCTCCGCCGTGCACCCCCAGGAATGGTGGACTCTGGCACCACTGGAGAAAAATAAGTTGTTCTGCTGTATTTGTTTACAATTGGTTTCTGGTGTGTCACATAAATCCTGTGTGCCTGTGTAGCTGCTGGTGACGCCCCTCTCCATAGGCCCTTGACTCCACCGAGCAGAGGCGCAGGTCCTGAGGGTTGGCTGCTAACTGCTCGCACAGCAACCTGCTTTGGAGAATTGCCCTCATCAGATTGGAGCCAGGGATGCCAGGAGGTCACACCCTAATTCCTGGAGAGGCCCATAGCCAATGACTGATTGTCAAGGAAACAAAAGTCTGGCCCTTTTGCCTCCAGGGGGTATAAATCTATGATGCCAGGCGTGCTCCAGGGCTCCCTGTGGGATCAGGGCGAGGCCAGACTGCAGCTGTTCAGCGGAGTTCACAGGTTCCCTGCACTCGGTCCCCTGCCCTGCCCTGCCTGCTCCACTACCGCGCAGATTTCACCTTGGAGTACGTACGTTTTCAATACTTCCGCAAGAATCCTCATCTCAGGCTCTGCTTCTGGGGAACATGACCTAAGATAATACTTTATGGGTGATTTGAGGAATGTCCAAGGATAATTTTGACTCTGTGCCTCATCTATTGATTTCATGAAATAGGATTTCATTTTTTTCTTCCTTGGGTTCCCAGTGCCTAGAGCAGTTCTGAGGGAGAGTAGGCTCTCAATTTAACTTTGGTCGAATGAATGGATGAATGAATGAGAACACTGCATTTGTCAGCAGACTCTTGCTTTAATGACCAGTAAGCAACACTGTTTAGGGTTCGGTCTCACACTCAGACCTTCCGAGCCTGAACTGGCATCAGGGCTGGCAAAGATTCTTAGGAGTTAATTTTTTCCCAAAAGCAGAGAGCTCATAAAGTTTCACAATCTTCAAACTAGACATCTCTGATTATCTATCTATGACCAACTCCTGTCCTTTAAGGCATTTTTCCTAAGAGTAGTTACTTCATCTTCCCACTTCACATCGGACTTCCTTATGCATGCTAATCACACGCGCACACACAGAGATGAAAAAAGGCAACAATTCTGCTTCCTAAAGAAATGTGTGGCCACTGCAAGGCCAGTTCCATCTGACTTCCATCCTTATTACACAAAAGCTCCGAGGAAGGCCGGGCGAGGTGGCTCATGCCTGTAATCCTAGCACTCTGGGAGGCCGAGGAGGGCGGATTGCTCGAGGTCAGGAGTTCAAAACCAGCCTGAGCAAGAGCAAGACCCCGTCTCTACTATAAATAGAAAGAAATTAATTGGCCAACTAATATATATAGAAAAAATTAGCCGGGCATGGTGGCGCATGCCTGTAGTCCCAGCTCCTCGGGAGGCTGAGGCAGGAGGATCGCTCGAGCCCAGGAGTTTGAGGTTGCTGTGAGCTAGGCTGACGCCATGGCACTCACTCTAGCCTGGGCAAGAAAGCGAGACTCTGTCTCAAAAAAAAAAAAAAAGCTCCGAGGACTGAGGCAGGGGAGAGAGACACAGAAGCCGTCTTTGACGTGAGCCAGGTTGATGGCAGCACACCCCTCAAAGTGGCAGGAAGTGGCAGAACTTTCCAGAATAGAAATGTAAACTTTCCAGACTACAGAAATGCTTTTCTTCAGAAAAGCTTGCTGGCAAGATGTCACAAAAGGTTATTAAAGATGACACACTGTTCTCTATTCCAGTCTGCATTTCTAAGCTTAAAAATCCAAGCAAAAATTCAGTAGTTGGATTTCCAAGCTCATTAAATAAAGAGTCAAAGGCTACAAAATTCCTGGAATTCACAGAATATATATGATTGTAATCCCAGTCACAATGTGGCAATTTCTTAAATCTGTGTGTCACAAGCCTGCACAATAGAAACGTTCAGAGCACAAGCTTTGGGGCCAGACAGACCTGGATTTAGAGCAAGCCTTTGTCACCAGGTAGCTGTAACAAGACATGTTGCTTTAACCTTTGAGTCTCAGTTCCATTACCCCCAAAATGGGAAAATCATGCCTGGTTTTTTGGTTTTTTTTTTTTTTTTTTTTTTTTTGTAGAATTAAGTATATCAGATAGCATTGATAAAGTGACCAACTTTTCTCCCTGTTTATCCAGGACTGATACATTTTGAAAATAAAAGTCTCACATCCCAGAAAGCTCTTCAGGCCCCAGCACACCAGGATGATTAGTCACCCCAACTATAGCTATTAGCATCAATTTTATTTGCCAAAAGATGATGTCAGTCAAACATAGCAACCTGCAATCTAAAACCTCATTCTACTGAAACTATGACTACTGCTACTTCTAAATAGCAACAACAACAATAACTCTAAAAGATACGATTATGGATATAGCACAAAGCAGAGTTTTATACTCCAGTTATGGGCGCAGAAGATTCCAAACCATAAACAAATCCACTTTCAAATAATTGCATTGCATTAAATTTAGCAAATTAAGCAATTTATTAATAGAATCACAATGTAAATTAAACAATTAGAACAACAATGTGTTTTCTTGGAAACATTTTATAAAAGAGAAGCCTTTGAATCTGAGACATTAACCAAAGGCACCCACCCCTTTGACAGCTGTGAGAATATTCAGGAGGTTGGAAGTTGCACCAATTTAGTTATGACTTGGAAACCTTAGATTCCAAGCCCAAACGAGGGGGAGAAAAAGAAGATGAGAAAGAAAACTAAAGTGCCAGATATTTTCTCTAGAAGTTCTGAGAAGTGAGTTTCTTTGCCCTCCAGTGAGGAAAGAGCTATGTAAATACAAAGAACAATTACACCATTTTGTCCCTCAGTGGCTGTGACACTTTACACAACATAGATATTTTCCCTTCTGATGTGATTTTCAGCTAGCAAAACCTTTTAACACCCCACTCCCTTTTTTTAATGACAGGAAAAGAAAATGTGTTCCTATTGCAATTACTAGCTAAAAAAAAATCTTCTAGTTCCCAATATGATGATGAGAGAGGCCTATTTGGCACTTTTTTCTTATGAAGCTGTCTGTGAATTCAATCCTTCCTCTACTTTTAATATTCTTGTTTTGTGAGTTTTATCACCATTGACTCTTGTTAATGGGCCACTTCTTGTTTCTCACCTAGTTTCACAGCTTTTCTATTCTTTCCTTGCCTCATTTTAATTTCTGCAGTTTTAATACCCTGTGAATTATAGATTTTAGTCCTCTTGGTACTGCCTCTTAATTAAAAGTAATGTATTAGCTGCCATTTCTCAAGGGAAACCAGATTGACTGTGATAACTTCTTGGCAGTCTCCAACCCAGATGGATTTGTTTCTCTTGGGGTTCAGAAGTCAATGATCCAGCCTGTTCCCTGTGGAGGTGGGGACAGCCTGGCTGCGCCACAGAGACCTGGATTCAAGACTGCAGCTACATTTTGCTTAGCCTTTTCTCACTTTCCCCAACATGGAAACAAAGAGATGTTCTTGGCTTTGCTTGGACTCCACAAATATATCTGTATCTGACATGGGATTGTATGAACCTTTTCACAGTCTTTGCAGACAACAAAGAAAAGCAAGGCTTACTGAGATCATGATTTATGAGACACCATGTTTTCCGTATAATTAGTATTTTTTAATTATAAAAACAATACATAATTATGATAAAAAGAAATTCGCAGAGTAGAGAAGGCCACATTGAAAAGTAACATTTGCTTCCTAGCTCCTGGCTTTTGGTGCCTTCCCCACAGTGAATCACAGCTAATAATTTCTTAGGGAGATTTTCAGGGGTTTTCTGATCACATATAAGCATAGGGGCCTGTTATTCTTTCTCCCTATACTCTTTACTTCCTGGCCTTTAACTACAGTTTCAACTTTACATTTATCTGTTTGTTTACTTATTTCCTACTTTCTCATCAGATTATAAACTTCAAGAAAGTAGAGATCTAGTCTATTTTGTTCACTACAGTATCCCCAGAGTCTAACTTAGTGCCTATCCCATAACAGACACTCAGTAAATAATTTGATGATGAATACATGTGTGAAGGCAAGT